TGGGGAAGAAAGGTTCTAGATTGCAGCCTCGTACCGGCAGGCGAAGTGTAGGGTGTCCCCCCACTAGATGGAGGGACGACCTGGTAAGACCTGCAGGAAGTGAATGGATGCAGGTGGCTCGGGACCGAGTTTTATGGCATTCCTTGGGGAAGGTCTATGTTCAGCAGTGGACTTATGAAGGGGTTCAAAATATTAAAGAAAAATGTCGTCTTAAGGAACATTGTATATCGAGATTATTATTAAAAAAGCAGATACTGATTCTGAAAACTTAAAATCAATTATTTTATCAAGTGAGGGTCAGTGTTATCATCATTATCACCATCTTCTTTCTTCTTTTTCATTGGTTCTGTAAAAGTCTATTGCTAATCGTCGGCTTGCCAATTCTTTTAAGCATCGTGAATAGCAAGTGAATTAACTAATTATTAAAAAAAAAGATAGATAACTCAAATTTGCAAGAGAAATAAGCATTTAAACACAATACAATAACCAGTCATACATGCAAAGAGTTCTTCACGCAAAAACGATAATTTGCATTAAACAAACAAACAAACAAACAGACAGACAAGTCCATTAACAATATCACAATATCAACGTTAAAACGCTCATTATCATCACAATTACTCGGCGCGTTGTCTTCAAAACAAAGGCATAGGGAAAAATTCTTAGCAACATTTGTCCTCCTTAAGGCTGCCTGCAGTGTCGACATTGTGCGCCACAATGCGCACAAAACCTGCAACTTGGAGTGACAGCCGTGCACTGTGGCCCATTGTTGGAAAACGGGAAATCGCGAAGCTTCAAGACAGATCATTGTCGGCATTGAAAGGCCCATGTATGTTTTAGTTCGCATCGCTTTGTTCGATGCAAATGTCTCCGTTGTTATACAGGTCGATGTATAATTACTTTGGTTTATTGATAGTTGAATAGTTCATTTAGATGTTAATTTAGTTTGGGTAAAGTGGAGCGTGTTTCTATTGCCTATGGAGCATTATTCGATTTGTGATAGGTAATTTTGCTGTTTACTACTTGTGTATTTCACAGATACAAGAATTCTATATTTATATTTAAGTATCTTCTTTTCATTATTGTTATTAATATAAGAACGTTGCTCATGGGCAGCGGTCTATATTTACCATCACGTGCGCATGCTCGTTTGTCCCCTTTTCTATACCAAAAAACGTAGAGTCTACTCACTTATTCCCTTAAACTGGCTTAATTTTTTTAATCGTGATAGTTTCGACGTAATTTACACCCATTTGTAAACGATAATAAATCATCAATATTTAGAATTTTTTAGATTCTTCTCAATGATCCTTACTATGATGCGATACCGAATTATTTAAGATTTACAAAAAAAAAATGTTGTCTGCAAATATAATAAAATATGTATCTATAGTAGAATTTTGTGTTCCAATAAATGTTTTTATTTGTGACTCTTCCCATTGTCCTTGAATTTTTCCATATCCCAATTTAACCCTAAAACTAACCCTTATAACTAAATTCAATTTAACATTTTTTTTATTAACGTCTTAATTGACTATTCCATTCTGTCCCGTGCCAAATTTCAATTATTAAGTGAAATTTTAGCGTAAATTGCTCATAACAGATGGATAGGCGGATATCGAAATTACTCCATAAGCGCTCTGACTTAGAAAATTAAATACAAATGCGAGCAACTTTAAAAGAATTTTCTACTAAACATCCATATTTATCCTTAATTAATAACCAAAATGGAAATGCGTTGGTCAAAGGGCTAGTAATGCTTTGTTACCAAAATAAATGTTTTAGTTTCTCATCACTCATCACACGAAGCAACAGCATTATGATGCTAATTTAGGTAGACACATAGATAACACTATACTAACTAAATGAAAATCATCATCATTGTCATCATCATTACAACCTATCAAAGTCCACTACTTAACATAAGTCACTCCCATTCATTGCCCCATAATAGGTGTTTGTCGTGTAGTGGCGGCGTCAGAGAAACCATTACCGCATATCATCCATACCATCCATGGTGTCGTAAGAGGCGACAGAGGGGGACTGAAATTGTGAAACAGGAGATGGGCAGTAGCATCTTTCAGGTAACAAATCAAAATAATAAAAAAACTGAGGCTGCCAATCCAATAAACAAAAAAAAGAGAACGGTACAATGGGCGACCTTATCGCTAAAAGGGATTTCTTCGAGACAATTTTTGGATGGAAAAGATTGCAAGAGAACAAAAACATGATATGTGGTTTGGTGATATTCTGTGAAAGTTTGGTCCTTTTCCGACCGACACTATAGTTGCCGCGCGTTAAGGTGAAAACGCCAGGGTGACCCGCGAAATTCAAATTTTCTTACGTTTTTTGCAATTTGTAGGTCAGTGTCAGGTTGTTTGTTTAACAAAATATGATTCGCGACCGTAACGAGTATGTATTTACAGAATTATAACCATTATAATCATCAGTACAACCGTCTATGTTCGTATAATCACATTGTTTGGCTATTTCCAGAAAAACTCATTTAAAGGGATTATATGAACTTAAAGGGTTTATTGGTGAATTTAATGATACTAATTCTATAAACACATACTCGTTACTGTCGCGAATCATATTTTATTAAACATACAACCTGACACTGATCTGCAAATTCCAAAAAACGCAAGAAAATTTGAATTTCGCGGGCCACCCTGGAGCTCTCACCTTAAAGCCTTTTTCTTGTAAACAGAAGCACATAATTATACATATAATAGAACACTCTTTTATTTACAATTTCAAACGGAATCTAAATAGTAAATACAATATCTTCCACTAAACAAAATTTCTCCGTTTCTGAGTAGCAAATCGTGTGTATTTTTTTCTTACGAAATACGCGAACACTAAGGAAATTACATAGTAATTGCAAATCAAAATCACGACGTCAATGCGTACTTACTATCGCTTACGATTCCCATCACGCATACCGACAAAAGAGTACCCTCCCCAAAGTATCGACAGAATAATGAGGATCCGGGAAAAACTTGTGTAGCGGAATGAAAAGCGCAAATTCGTCATTAGGAGGCGCTTCCCGCCATTGTTGTTACCATCCCTCTCCCACCAGTTGTTAGATCCGCTGGAGTGAGCGAGAGGATCGTCCTGCCGGATTGTTCCTTTCAATGTTGGTGACATTGTTTTCTCTTTTGTGCCCGCCTGAATCAGGATTGTCTTGTCTGTTTGAATGGACGGTGGCGCCCCTCCACGGTATCGATGAGATGAATAAAGCCTTTCCATAAATGGGGGGAGACAAAGGGTTGGTCTCTTGAATCGAGCTCGGCTGGTCGTTCGTGCTTTCGATTATATTGTATCGATTCAGCCATTGTGCTCGCAATGAGGGATGGTTAAAGCAAATTACTTTACTCTTTTTGTCTTTATAGAATAATAGTATGTGACAATCATTGTTCTTTGAATCGACAATAGCGTGTTCATGAACTGTTTTCAAATGAAACTATAGTTAATATTTGCAACTTAAAACGTAATAATATCTGTTACGTACCAATGATAACATATGCTCGTAACAAGTAATGTTTTTGCACACATCAAAAGCGGATGTAGTGCTCTATTGTCACCAAATCAAATAATCGCGATCCACTCAACTTAAATAACTTCCACCAGCTTCATATTGCACTTATATAATTAAAAAAGTACACCAATACCAAGAAGGGATTTCAATTAATACTTCTGACGTAGTTATAAGATTATTTATTTCGATTATTATTAAAAAAAAAATTGAAAATAGTTTTACTTGGACGTGAACGTGAACAAGATATCTTCCGAAAAACTGAACTTATCAATTTGATTATTTTTATTAGGTCTAAATTTTAATCCTTAGGAAGCCATTTGAATTTCACAATATTTTTTTTATTCAAAACAATACACGAACATTCGAGGTGTGCACTTTTGGATGATTGGTTTATAAATCGCAGAATAATTAAAATTCAATTTTTTTTAAGTAAGTCATGCCGAATACAAATTCCGCAATGATGATATGAGGAGCATCACCTTGTCTCCGCGTTTATTAACCGCGTCAGCTGTTATATCATTTTTAAGAGCTGATTTCCCACGTGTGACGGTAAAGACCACAAACAACGTGAGGAAAACACAAAATAGAAATAAGAATAAGGAATCGAAGACATGTGAATAGACATGTGTACCTAATTCATTCATTTTTAGTGACGAGGTCGAACGAACCGGGACATTCGCGTCGATGAATGATCCACTTGTCATTTCGAGTTTCAGTAGGTACTATGTGATCAATGAGACCCGGTCGAAAATGACGGTCGTCAATCGTTTGATCCGGAACGTTCAAAAAGTGTAATTACAATCATCAATACTTTGATGCGACCCGGGTCAAATGAACGAATCATTCAAGATTGACACATATCTATGAAGTTGCCCCACAATCCTCTTAGATGTGAGAGGAGACAATTGTCCAGCTGGGAGAAGTATTTTTTTTTTCCTTAAAAACGTTACTCCCACACTAGGATTTTCTCCTGTATCGTGGAGGCAGTTTACAAACACAAATTTCACAAGGACAACATATGGGCTGTAACTTTACTTTTTTATGTAGTCCATTTGATTATTCTTAAATAGGCCTATATGTAGCTGGTTGTGGAAGACTGTTAAATAATAAAAGGGCTATGCAATAAAACGTAAGAAAAAATTTGTTGCAATATCATATTTTTAAAGCAAATTTAAGGTCACCAATATTTGTGTTATACATACATTAAGTTGACCGTGTAGTGACGGTGAAAAATATCCACTACCCCATATCATCACGTGGGTGTCGTCAGAGGCGACAAAGGGAAACAAATCAGGAGATGGGTAGCAGCGTCTTTTTAATAACGACTAAGAATAAAAACTGCCGTTGGCAACCCGCTTGCCTTGTGATATTCAAATTTGTTGATAGTACCGTTATGAACCCCACTTACGCTACCATCACAAAGTGCCTTTATCGCCTTATTGAGATTAATTATTTGCAGGTGCCGAATGGAAGCTTCTATCAGAAGACGAGAAAAGGCCGTTCATAGATGAAGCGAAGCGGCTTCGAGCGATGCACATGAAGGAGCATCCCGACTACAAGTATCGGCCGCGGCGGAAACCCAAGACCCTCAGAAAGGAGGGCTACCCTTACTCGATACCCTACCCTAGCGTGCCAATGGACGCCCTCAGAGTTGGTAAGTTGTTTATAAAAACAATATATTTTAAACCTACAATACTGAAAAATATTATCAAATTCCTAGTAGGAAGTTATTATAAAGGATCCGATTTTCTAAAATTTTCGAATTCGAATTTAGTCTAAGTTAGTCTTTTCAATAACTCTAGAATCGGATGCTATTGTTTTACCCAAATACTCAAAAGCTACTCAATTTTAAGATGACGTTAAGTCTCGTGCTGTCTCTATCACTTTAACTGTTACACCAAGAGACATAACGACATGAGTATTAATGTATTGTTTAGTTAATTTTTATCTCTCTTATTTTTTATATCTCCACTACAAACAATATATACGTTGGCGTGATTTTATACGAATCTCAAATAAGAAACAGGATAAGTATTGAAAAAAAAGACTGCTTTACTTTTGTTAGATATGAATAAAATAAATAAATTAACTGAAATAATAAATATGATTTCTTATATTTACGTGATCACTACACACACATGGTAACGAGAGTACTCCCGTGACCATGGGTGCTTTAAAGTAGATGCTCGAAACATCGGGAATATAAAATAGGTTAATGAAGCGCGTTAAAATCTGTAAAAAATATTTAATTGTTAAATAATGGTAAACTAAACCGATTTTACAAACGACAATCTGTACTGTTTAATCATGCACGTAATGATTATGTTTCATCATCATGGAACATTAAAGTTAGCACATAATTTATATCACTTATTATTTTGGAAGTTTGTTATAGACCTCCCGGGTAGCACCCATTTTTTATTTTATATGTCCAATTATCTCCAAATATTGGTTCAATTAACGCTCATTAGTTTTAAGTCAAATACGATCAGACAGACATATATAATATTTTGATATTCTTACTTTAGTATTCAGTAGCATATCCCTCAACGCTTTTGATTTCGGCCGGCTCGATGATCGCTTCGAGATTATTTCGGACGTTACGTCACGCGACTTGTATGTCGGGTTAAAGTACAATAAACTTAAATAACAACCAATTGAGAAAACAAGTGTCAACGTTCAGATAATACAGCCTAACTTATATAAAACTATAAGATTCAGATAAGTAGCCTATATATTTTTTGTTTCCTGACATCAAGGCTCACACAGGATTGGGTAATGAGGATAAGAGATTTTAACGCCGGCACCAGCTGGCATCCGAGGACTCATAAAGAAACATTGATCGATATTACTTAAATTGAAGAATATTTACACATTAACTTTTTTTAGAAAAATATTTTTTGTTTATATAGTATAAGGAAGATAATCGAGCACACAGTCCACCTGATATTAAGTGGTTTCTGTGATCCATAGAAATCTACATCTATCTTCGTTTGTGAATCAAATTGCAGAATGCGTTGTCAGCCGTGTGGACTAAGATGGAATGCCTCTTTTCCAGTAAAAACGGTCTCCGGTTCTCCGCACTCACCATACGAAACACAGCAGGATTAAGCTGCTATTTTGCGCTGGTATTCTGTGAGAGCGTAGTCCTTCCCCGGTCGAGCCGACCCATTCCTGCTACAACTATACTATTAATAAAGCTGTAGCTGGCTCTACCCCGTAAAAACAACTTAACTACTTAGCTTGTAAAATATAATTAATATTATGGGATAAAATGGGTAATAAATAAAAGTAAAATAATATTTAAAACAACAAAATAATTAGGAATTTTAATTACCTTTAAAGTAAGCGTACGGGGTAAACAGAATAAACAATTCAACAAACGTTCTGTACCTATTGATAGCGCATTGGTAAGACCACTTGCTCAAATATTGATTCAAATGTATGATTAAAACACTGAAAGACATTATTCAAACTGAATTATTAATTATTCCTTTTTAAGATTATGTATTTTAAACAATATGTATAGTTACACTATCAGAAATATCAATGAAGCTAATCCATCAGCTTTTAAATATATATTTTTGTTCGATTTACGCATATTTGTTGATTGGAGCAAAACTTATTCCAACGCTGAAGTAATCCGGATTTTTTTCATATTCAACGAGACCACCCTTCGGGTATAGTATATTTAATGAAAAGAGAATCATTAAAACTGTTCACAATTGGCGAAGATATCGCGTAATACACCAAAAAATGAAGTCAAAATGAGTACCTCTTTTAAGTCAATTAAAAGGGATCACCGTTTGTAGTCACTCACCGTACGGAACAGCATTCGGAATTCGGACTATATCCTGCTTAATTAACGTCAGCATTATGCTGCTATTTTACACCCCTATTTTGTGAGAGTTTTGTTCTTTTGCGACAAATTCGTGTAGCCTTAATACAACTGCTTCATGGTTCTACTGCATATAATTTAGAATATCTAAACTCACACCTAACTACTTACTTAGACTGTGTTTTGTACATAATATGTTGATTTAAACTTAATTATTTAGCATTAAGTCAAACCTACGTGGATTTAGATGTTAATTAGACCTATATCTGTATTTTTTTTGATCTGATAAATAAATTTAAAAGAAAATCTGGGAGTTTTGCTCGATTTCTTCATAACCTTGGAAAGCAAAACATTATCTTAATATAATCCAAATTTTATCCAAATCATTTGAACCGTTTTCGAGAAACCAGTGTATTGTCCTGTATATCGTATTTCGGTTCGGCCAGTGTCATAACTACTAGAAGAGACTAGCCATCTGTGCAGCACAGGATTATTAATAACGAATGTGAGTGCAAGTACAGGTGCTCTCTCATAGTCTGATCGGATCAAAATCCAACACGAGCGAAGAGAGATCAGGTGCAAAACCAACGGATTCATGTGCTTTTCAAGGCGCGTGGGTGAAACACTGCTCACTCCGGGCTGCTATAGAGGATTTCTTGACCTTTTTATTTCGAGCCGATACGGAGTTCGAAGCCGTGACCACATTATCCGTAGTCGCGCTTACAAGGCAGTCAGAGAAACTAATTTATTAGGTACAAGAATTGTCCAATTTTTATATATTTTATATATATATATATACTTACAAAATTGCTCACTTAAAGTATAGGTTAATATGATTATTTTAGTTGAAAATTATGTATTAGCAATTGTTTATCATTATATTGTTTTATAACTTCTGAATCATTACATCATAATATTTTACTGCAATAAAAGATATAATAACGCTCCATATTACACCAACTGTCAGTGTTTGTTCTTGGCGCGGCGAGCTTCGTAACCCGCCATTACGCGCAGTAAACTACTTTTCAGTTTACAACATTTTGTTACAAATTAACGTCGGAGATAACGCTACGACGTTACAAATGAGGCTTAATGAACTCAATTTTGAATTAAGAACGGCTTCTTACGTTTTTAATTCGAAATAATCCAGCAAAGACGCTTTGTTCGCGGCAAACGTTTATAGTTATTATTCCTAGAATGCAACCTACCTTTATTAGCACGCTTTTATTGGCTTGATCTGTATGTATTAATGCAAATATGAGTGAAATGAAATTTTATAATTAAATTTCATTTACAATGTATAGTGTATACATGGTAGAGTCAGCTAAATTATGTTTAGAAGCACGAATGGGTTGGCTCGACCGGGGAAGAACCAAACTCTCACAGAATACTAGTGTAATAGCAGCTTAATGCTGCTCTGTTTCATACGGGGAGTCTTCTTTTTTTATTGCATTACATGCGATATTGTAACTGTATAACTACACATGTGTCTTTTCAGGCATTAGCAGTATAGAAAGAAACGAGAACCGGAGAACGTTTTTACTAGAAACAAGGCATTCCATCTTAGTTCTCAGGGAAGACAACGCATCTGCATGTCGATTCTTAATCGAGGATATATTATTATGTAGATGTCTGTGGGCCACAGCATCCACTTAATATCAATTGGGCTGTGTGTTCGTTTGTTACACTTATTATATAAAAAATAATTAAAAATTGTGTACTGCCGACTTCAATATAAGTTATTAAGAATAATTCAAAAACTATTGGTCTGACCTTGATCAAATTCATATGGGACCACATAAGAAGCACCAGCTTTCAAATAAATAAAAAAATCATAGAAATCGGTCACCTAGTAAAAAGTTATAAGGTAACACACATAAAAAAAATACAAAAACATAAAGTAAAATAAAATTTCAATCAATCTGTCAGTAATTATTTGTAGAAAATATTTTTTGCTTAGAAATATATTACAGTCATGACTTTTTTATGCAACTGTGACGAAGTGACAAAAGAGCAATCAGCCCACATGATGGCTATTGCAGCCTATATACCTACACCTGCAGGGAAACTGAGGACTAAGATGGAATGCCACACAGCCTGTAACTACACTGACTTTCTTTGGCAGCAGAAGTAGGTAGGAGGATGGTACTGTATAGAACTTGTGCTTGTGTTTACTATCCAGACGAACTGCTTGGCTAAAAGGAGTACTAGCGCCCGAAAAAGGGTGACGTTATATCTTCTTCTTTGTTTCTTACATGTATCCACTCACCATCAGATAATATGTTAGCTCATTAGCCACTAAGCCTTTACGAGATAAGCTGAGACCTAAAAGATATCACAAAATCTATAAAAAGATCTATGTTTATATTTACCTTCACTAGTTCAATCAAAGACATCACGCTATATCATTCTTGAAATCATATAATCATTTCAGTATTGATTTGAAAGCAACAAACTCTAAATACTTCGAAAGTATGTTTAGAAAATAAAAATCTTAGAAAGTTATTTCGCATTTTTATCTTTACAAATACAATTATATCGAACAATGTTGGTGATACGGACGACACCAACTGTTCTTTTGATTGGTCTATGAGACCGCCGTAATGTAACCATTTGCTGTGTTGCATTCAAACGGACTAAATGAATCTTTTTATTATTTAATATTTATACCTGTATACTAAACACTACTATATTTTATTTAGTGTTATATTTATATGTTATTTAGGTCGAATAGTTTAACTGTTTTTCATTTTAACTTTTTTTATTGTTCTTAATTTGCACCTATGAACATCTTTATTTATTCCATCTTTCTTAGG